CCCCCCCCCCCCTTTCTCCTCTTAATAATACCTGACCTGATTTTGTGCTGGAATAATTAAAAATAAAGTCTTGAATTTATTAGGACTTTTTTATATTTGATAATTTGACTGACTAACCTAACTCTCCCATCCCCAGAAAGCCAACCTGTTTGAGCCTTGATGTCGATTTCTCTAATCAAAATTACTAATCTTAATAATTTTACTGCGCCTAAACTTTCCATAATGTGGTAACTAACTTTTCAGACGTGAAACCTGTTTTTGAAACACTTTCATCAAATTGTCCTGTTTAGTGGGACAATATGTATAACTCTCAGTTTCCACTTACTTGATAATATGCCCATATTTAGTCGTCTAACTAGCTGGGCGTTGAAAGCTCTGGACACGTAGTTCTGTAAATTGTCACATCCACCGTTACGCAGTGTGTCACTAAAATAGGAAAATACTATAAAAAGAATTATCCATAAAGATTTAGTAAATTAATTAATAAAATATTTTAGAAGATTTTGAATTTTTATTTGATGAAAAAAATTTGAAAAACTTTAAGAAATATATTAATACATTTGTTTACGTGATGGACCAAGAAACCGGATCCGCATTTAAATTTGATGCAGAATCGCAAATTTAAATTGAATAGATTTTTAGCACTGATAATATATTCAGACTTTTACCGACTTATGGATTATCTCTGGGGTGTTTACTGTTTACTCTTGATATTTACCGTTTACTCGATCTTGATATTTTAATTTCTACTAGTCATATTTTGGGAAAAAGTTGAAAATTCTATATCAAATGACAAACTACATGTTTTAATTTCCCAAATTAACAAAAACTTATGAAAATTGGACGAGCAAAAAATTATCTTGACATAATTATAAACCTACAGCGTTGCCCGGGGGTACTCATAGTTAACCCAACCGTTTACCCGCACTTGGTCGATCTTTAACTGGGAAAATAAATGTTCGCTTTAAAAGTCGACTTACGCAACTTAAAATCTTAAAACCAAGCAAAAACATTTCCGTGGTTCTCCCGAGTTCCCCAATCAGAATTTGAGGCAAATCTCTCAAGGGGTTCCTGAGTTATGATCGGACAAACAAACAGACAAAGAGATTACAACTTTAAATATATAGATAATAATAATAGCTGACCTGATTTGACCGAGCTCAAGACCATTTTCCATAAAGTTGGTTTTATAATCTTGTTCTGTAGGATTAGTTTTTACACAGTAACCCAGGAAAACTATCAAATGAAAAAACATGAATGATCATTGATCAATTGAAAAAAATATTCTACTTTGCCAATTATCCTTAAACCTTCAGAGTTATTAATTTTGAAGTTCAATCATTAATCGGTCGATCGATTAATCAAATAAAAAAGTTAACAATTCCAAATTGAATCTTATTATATTGGAACACCCGGTTTACAGTCCCTTTATCTCAGTTACGAGATAGAATAAACAGAGACATGTCTCTATAGCTCACGAATTAAACAAGGAATGACGAAGACAGTTTATTTGACTCAAGATAATAAGAATAGAAGAAACAGTCTCTTATACTTGAGTATTAGCTAGAATTAAACAAAGAATGACAGAGACAGTTTATTTGACTCAAGGTAAATAGAGTAGAAAGAACAGTCTCTTATACTTGAGTATTAGCTAAAATTAAACAAAGAATGACAGAGACAGTTTATTTGACTCAAGGTAAATAGAGTAGAAAGAACAGTCTCTTATACTTGAGTATTAGCTAAAATTAAACAAAGAATGACAGAGACAGTTTATTAGACTCAAGGTAAATAGAGTAGAAAGAACAGTCTCTTTGAGTATTAGCTAAAATTAAACAAAGAATGACAGAGACAGTTTATTTGACTCAAGATAATTAGAATAAAAGAAACAGTCTCTTATACTTGAGTATTAGCAAGAATTAAACAAGAATGACGAAGACAGTTTATTTGACTCAAGATGATTAGAATAAAAGAAACAGTCTCTTATACTTGAGTATTAGCTAGAATTAAACAAAGAATGACAGAGACAGTTTATTTGACTCAAGATAATTAGAATAAAAGAAACAGTCTCTTATACACGAGTATTAGCTAAAATTAAACAAAGAATGACAGAGACAGTTTATTTGACTCAAGATAAATAGAATAAAAGGAACAGTCTCTTATACTTGAGTATTAGCTAGAATTCAGTTCCTTTAAAAATACAAATTAAAGTACAACCTCCCGTTGAAGCTAGTACTGCTGTTCTGTAGGGTCTTGATGTACACATTTGTTTCACCTCCAGGCACGCCTCTTTATAATCTGAGACCACGCCCATCCAATACGTCTGAATGAACCATAATGAATTGTCGCATAACTCCAAGATAAAAGGCAACTAACACCAACCAAGATATTGGTAACAAGAAAAAGTAAAACGGTGTAATAGATTATAAATTTTGCGCACATGTTAGGAAAACAATTTATCTTATCCAAGAATGTAATGCAAGGAAAGTTAATTTTATTTGCGTATTGTCTGCGTACATATTGAAACCAGTTATCTCTGGGCGGAATTTGTAAACAAGAATAGATGCCTCAGTGTTCGTTTAGTATCTGAGGAGGTTAAAAGCATTGAATTTTGATAATTCACATAATAGTTTCCAATGACTAGAATATTTCATTGATTATTTATGTGAAAGATGGATCCCATGTCAGGCTTCGACATTCGTCTTGTGTTTACATTACCGCCCAGTGACAGTACACTGCAGTACAAAAGATGCGTACCTGAAATAACTTCCCTTGCATTAAATCCTTGATCTTATCTATATAAAATTTAGCTTGTCTGGGTGGGTGTTAGTTTTTTTGTGTGTATCCAATAAATGTCAAAACGGCAAAACCGATCGGGCCCAAATTTAGTGTGGGACCTCACGTGACCCCAGGGAAGGTTTATGAATGATTAAAATTTTCAAAATTTGCGTAAAAAGTTTTTTATTTTGTAAAATTTTGAAAATGCGCGAAAAAATTTTGTGAAATCCGCAAACTTTCTTTTGTTTTTGTTTTATACAGTACAAATTGAAGATGCTCACAGATAAAGTCACAATTAAAAGTTGAAAGCAAAGATGGACGCTAAAAGCCTAGTTAGTTATAAATATTCCGTTTATTTGATGCAAAATCATTCTTTTTATAATTGCAGTCAAGTCCATACATTAACAAACACATGAATGATCGCATAACAGCGAGATAAAAGGCAACTAAAAATAAAATATGTTGGTAGCAAGATGAGGTGAGAAAGTAGTTAAATAAGAAATCAATTAAGCGCAGCAAACATTAGTACCTATATTCCCCCTTGTGTTTATTGGCTAGATTGGCGAGTTTCCGTGATAATTAATAAGCACGTATCTTAAAGGGGAAAAACTACTTCCCTATCCCCCCCTCCCGATTTAGTTATAAATCCCACTCAAATTTTTTGCCCCCCTCTCCCCCTCCCCATTCGTCAAAATATATACCCCTAACCTGCCTTCCATTTTTCAATCCGTCCTCCCTTGAGCTTCTCCGGGAACGGAGGCAGCTGAGGTATCCTCGGTAGTTTCCCCAGCTTCGATAACAATGTTTGAGAACTCATTTTTCTGAAATATATCAAAATATATAATTTTGGATGCATCGCTTCCCTACTAATGCTAAGAGGCCACTTATATTGCCCATTGGTAGCCACTTACAAGAAAAGCAAGATTGATTTTTTCCCTCCACATAAAAACAGCATAATGTAAGTTTGATGTATGTATAAAAATAAACCAAATAAGTATAAGTTTACGACTGACTTTGATCATAAATCAGGCAATATAATTCTGAATTCTGCACCAAAAAGCATGTACATGCAATAATAGTCCTGATTCAGGCAGTTCGAATAGATAGGCGCTATAGTTCTGAATCAGGCAGTCCGTACAAGCAATAATTATAAATCTGTCGCAAGTGTGCCAGGTTTCCAGGTTCACAGCCTAGTTGAACAAAAATATTAAAATAAGAATATAAATCATATTGTGACACCCAATAAGATTTAGAACTACATAGAAATAGAGATTAGAATTTCTTTACATTCAACATTAGGTCAATTACTTTTTTTAAAAATTAATTAACATCAAGAACAATTTTACATTCAGCCCTTTTCAGGAATCCTAAGCGTTAGACAAAACGCATTAAAAATGCATTAAACTACAATCAATCAATCAGCCAATCAATCAATCAATCAATCAACCAATCAACCACCTTCTAACCAAAGCGTTCGATCGATAAACAAATCTATCAACCAATCATTCTTGGATGAATGTACAGATGCAAGGATGGAGGGAAAGATGGATGAAGGAAGCAACAGCAAGCAATCAATCAACCATCATTGCCCAATCAATCAATCAAACAATATGCCATTAATTACCTAATGATTTAAGAGTATCTCCTGCTTCTCGCAGCATCGGTGGATAATGTATTAAACTTGATAAAGTTAAATCTGTTCCGAGACAAAGATTATAGTAGATCTGAATCTTGTTGCTCAGAGTAACATAGACCAGGACGGGTTGGGTGTTCTCCGGGCCCAAGGTGAACCTGCCAGCTGTAAAGGTTGAAACTGATTCTTCAAACTTAAACCGTACTGCTTGCTTGTCCTATGATCAATGGTGTATAAAGTACCCCCCCCCCCCTCTAAGCATATGTTAAAATAATTTTTTTGTTCGGGCTACAGAACAATTTTATATTCTGTCTAGAATATAATACAAGTTTATACACCCTGCCTGGGATATAATATAGGTCTGCCCATCCCAACTACAGGCAATAACCTCGTCACTTTTATTCCCTGTAATATCTAGTTTAGAGAGACACATGATCTGGTGATCAACCTGCAGGTTCCACATTATACAATCTACAGACTTCTTCTTACTATCATCATCTACTAGTAGAATAGAACCATCTAGGGTTGTGATTGCGAACCTAGTTCCTTTCCCCTCTCCTCCAGGTGCATATTATAAATCAATTCTCTCCGAAAATCTTAATTAATGACCCCCCCCCCCCCCCCCCCCCAACCCACTTTAGTATCATAATGTTTAAATATGCTCCTGCCTGTCTCAAATCCTCCCAAAATCTCAGAACTAACATTTGGATTTGCCCGTCTATTTATTCCCAGAGGTTCATATTCAACTGACATAGAGGATATGAGAGAATCTTCCTCCGAGAGCAGTCCCTTAAATGTCGGATTCTCTGATTCTTCAATTTCAACTCCTGTATCTTCTTGTTTTTTACCTCCTTGCAGGGGTTTATCATTTTTAGAAACACAGAGGGAGAGTGTTAAAATATATAAGAGTAAAAAATGAAACATTTGATATATTTTATTTTGATATAAGGAGACTTGTAACTGTACTTTCAAGCGACCCTATATATATAAAGACGACAATGTCCGATGTTTTTAATTTGAACTGATTATATTCTATAGTGGTTTCTTTACAAAAGTGACATTCGCATTTCTCCTGCAGGAAAACATGTAGGAATGATTAGAATTGAACAATTTTAAACCTAAAAACCTACAATATCTTGCCCATTATTGATCTGATACAGGTTTCAAGGGTCCCGTTGTAATATCGGGCATTGTCATCTTTGCACTGAGGGTCACTTGAAATTACCCTTACAGTCTCTTTAAATATTAGGTTTAAAAGGAGTGACCGGCAATTCATGGCAGTGAACTGAGAATGTAGTATTGTGGAGACATTTTTAAGGAATTATTTGAGACCTTTAATGACCTTTTTAACAACCTATAATGACCTCCAAATTGAAAATGTTTAAACTATGGTTTTATGCATATCAAACGATTGCTAGAAACCCAGACAAAAAATGTCATTAGAAGGTCAAACAGTGCATTCTTTGCTTTTACTGTATGGCCTGGGTTCCTATCTTTCGTTTGATGTGCACACAGTCATAATTCAAAATTTTTAATTTAGAGGTCATTATAGGTCGTTACATTCAGGGTTCATAAATAGTACATGCCTTAAGCGGACTAACCAGATTCCCTCAGGCGTGAGTAATACATGTATCATTTGGGGGAATGCTGAGGGGTGGGATTGCCTGGGGCCAGGAACAACCCCAGCGATTCTCTTTAAATAAATAAATAAATAAATAAATAAATAGGTCATAAAAAGGTCCAAACACTCAATTCTTTGCTTTTACTGTATTGCCTAGGTTCCTAGTTTAAGTTTGATATGTATAGAATCATAGTTAAAAAAATTGGAGGTTATTAGAGGTCAGAGGTCGTTCGAGGTCATTAGAAGGTAAAACACTGAATTAATTGCTTCTAATGAATTCCCAATGTTCCTAGCTTACGTTTGATATGCATAAAGCCATAATTAAAAAAATTTCAATTTGGAGGACATTGAGGTTGCTAGAGGTCGACCTTTCGATACAACTTAGTAATCTACACGATAAAAACGTTTTATATGCCTCAAATGAATCCTAAAAAATTTCTCCACAATACAAAAAATTCTTACGTCAACTAACATACATTGACGGTCACTCCCTTTAACCCCTCATATAATTACTCAAAAGTTATCATTTTGAAGAGGGGAGTGGAGAAATTTTTACATAGCATACAACCCCTGCCTTCTTTATCAAGATCTCTGCATCTAAGCCTAAGAAACGCCCCTCCCGGCTGTCCAATAAGAATTGCGGGTTTACCGTCTGAATCCTTGTTCATCGATACTGTTCCAATCTGCGAGGCAAACTCCCATTTGTTAATACAAACCAACCGTCCTGATTCCCGGGATGCCATCAGGTTTAAGGAAGTTGGGGAGACGACAGGACTACTCGGACTCTCTTCATCCTCGTCCTTCTCCTCAACCTCTTCCTTTTCCTGTCCTTCCTCCTCTCCCAAACCGAAGACTGTCCAACGATACATCCTCACAACCCGATCTGTCAAACTAATAACAAGCTCTGACAAGCCGTCATGAGTTACGTCGGAAATAATCATATCACGGATATTGGCCGGCACACGTTGTTTAAACGTAGGTTCGAATTCATCCTCGGCGCTGTATTTGCTAAAATCAAAGACGTTAACCCATCCACATCCGGTGGCCACCACTAGCACCGAGTATCCCATATTGAAAAGATCGCCAACGCTGATCGCTGTGATAAATCCAAGGTTTGAAGCTTTCTTCCAAACATTTCCACTTCTACCCTTCAGAGATGTGTATTTTATAAATTTTCTGAGTTAAACGAAATTGATTTAATATTATTTTTTTTTTGTTATTTAGGGTTAGGTTAGGTTAAGACACTTTCTGGCCCGAGCGCTGCGGCTTTGACAGGCTAGGGGGCAGGGTGCTGCGGGCACGGGTTAGGTTAACTTAAGACACTTTCTGGGCCGAGCGCTGCGGCCAGGCCAGGCTAGGGGGCCGAACGCTGCGGCAACATGTCTTACAGTCAAGATCCATGTACAAAATTGATAGGGGGGTGGTGGTCCAAAAATCGCTCTCTAGGAAATTACCAAAACACATCATTCTAGGTCAGATTGAGATTATATTACTGTTTTGATAATGGGAGAGGGGGCATGAGGTGAAATTTCTCAAGATTTTGCCAAACTTTATTTTCCGGAACTGAAAATCTATTTCTATAGGATCTTAAGCTATTAATAAGTTATCCTAACCAGAAAATCTATGTCTCAAGTAACATTGTTATATCTATTAGATGCAACGGCGATCTTTCGATCCGAAAACACTGTAGAGTTCGAAAATCGGAATAAAATATACAACCCATCCTTCCTTGTAAATAAAAAGATCTCCTTCTGTAGTTCCAACAATTAGCTCGGATTCTCCATCATCATTCACATCGGCCAAGAATATTCCACATTGAGCGACTGAGCCGGGAATCTCTAAGGTCAGCCGATCCACAAAAGTGACGGCTCTCATTTTGAACAAGATAAGCCGACTTCACGACATTTGAAAACTATAACGAAATCACTAGTCGGATCGGCTTCGATCCATAATGATTGCCGATTGGAAGGTTTAAATATAAATGAACAATTGACGAAATTTGCTGAAAAAAATGGAAGTTGACGTGTACTGTGTAACTGTGTAGAGTCAGCGCTAATCCCGCGGCATTTTTTAAACTTGAGGGGCTTCCCAGAATGAAATTAATTATTCTGAAACTCAAACGCAAAACGATGCTTCAGGGTGTCCCAAGAAGATGACAGTTGATGAAAAGTTTAAAATGACTTCTTACATAGTTTGTTAATTTGTTTGAACCCCAAGAGAACAATAAATTTTCATGCCAGCCATATTACAGTAAAATTGATTTCAAAATATTTTTGAGTTAGGGATATTACACGCCCCCCCCCCCTAGCTACGGGCCTGCTGTGGTTTTAAGCAACTTCTCCAATTAAAATTTAAGGCAACCAGTGAAGGGATTCGTGAGTTATGATAGGGAGGGAAACCCCTGACGCCATGAGCCTCTGTTATGCAGACATCGAGCCTCCCAGATTCGCTAGGCAGACCGAGCCTCCAGTGTACTTTGCAGGCAGGTTAGGTTAAATTAAGACACTTCCTGTCAGACCCATGTACAAAATTGATAGGAGGGGGGGGGGTCCAAAAATCGTATACTAGGAAATTACCACTTGGTTTGTTTTGTTACGTAATCTTTGATTTAAACATTACCTTTTTTTGAAAAATGTTAAGACTTAAATAAATGCAAATTTTTAGATTTAATTTGAACTTCAAAAAAAGGTATTGCTAAAATCCATAGATAAAGATAGATTGCACATAAGACAACATTTTTCATCTTGATAGATATAAATGTACCGAGATGTTTTTAAGATATTCCTATTATATAGATTAACTAGGTCGGTTGTGAACATTGGCTGTTCTTATGTCATTGAGTACTTGTGGTGTACATGAGTTCTGTAGAGAGAAATTAAAGTTAGTTTAGTCCTTCTTCAGTTCTCGTCAATATGATATATTGCTCAGTGAAATAATGTTCAAATAGTTCCATTCCCATAGTTATTTTACACTCTATTATGAGATCCATTAAAACACCGAACCACCCCACTTATCATTGAAGTATACACTTTGACCCCTAGAAGTACGAGTTCGCGGACTGTACAATTCTTGGTGATTTTGCGTACATAAGCTATCTATGTTTATTTATTTATCTATGCTAAAATCAAAGATTATAAAAGATGAAGTGAAATTAAATTAAATTTTTTTTCTAAATATTTTCCTTTTTGTATAAAAAATGTTTAAAGTTTTAGATACCACTTCATTAGTCATAATTAGGCACTATTTATGATAATTAATAAATACTTCTCATCTTTGAGAAGCCTCTCATGCCACTATGTCTAAAAATGTCAATAAATCTTTTATTTAAACTTAAACACAAGTTTAAAAAACCTCCTGTATTACACAGGCACATTTTGATGTGTTGCGCATGCTCATTTCTGCAAAGCGGAGGCTTGGTCTGCCTAGCAACTCTGGGAGGCTTGTGTTTGCATAACGGAGGCTCATGGCGTCCGAGGATTCCCTCTCTCGTTATGATCGGACTGAACAGGTTAACCCGCAAAGGATACGACTAAAATTAAACAAGATCCACGAGACTTTAAATATCTAAATGTCAGAAATGGTTGGTTGGTCTTGTACCTTCAATATTTTCCATGAATGTTTGGTAAAAACAAGCTCGTATTCAAATGCAAGAAAGCACATATTGGATATAAGAAAAGGCTCACACCGACCACTATTACTTATTAAGCATTTTATTACCGAAAACTATTTATAACTACGTTGAAATATATGGCAATTGGCACCATTTCAGTTGATGAATTTGTTTAGATATGTATTCTGACAACGGTAAAAATAAATTACAGTGATAACCAGAAAACAATGGAATAGTAAGACGACATTATTGCAATACTTTTTTGGTGTTACATAACAAAAAGTTTTACCAGACACTTATAAAATTACTTAATCTGTGAAATTGGTCTGTTTACACTGCACAATTGCTGTTTTTTCTTGGTCATTGAACGTTTTAAATTCAAAACTTGATTCTCAAAGTCGCAGTACTATTCCAGAGTTTTCTGGTTTTCACTGTATATGGACCTTAGAGCAAATTTGAGAAAAACCTCAACTAAAAATTGCTTTTCTTAACGAATTAAAATTAATTTAGGGAAATTGGTGACCTTTACATCATTACATGCTGATGAAAATTGGGTTTAATTTCTACTGTGAGGCTCGTGAGGCCCCAATAAATTGGAATCGGAGGACAAATAATGGATTTACCCAATAAGCCAACTAACGTTCTTAGAATGTTAGATAACGTTCCTTTTAAGACTCATTAAGGTTACTATTTAACGTTATACAGTTACGTACGGAGGAACCCACATTAGCGTTAGTATGTTACCATGAAGTTTTGATTTAATGTTTGTAATGTTACTTGGTTTGTATGGCGTAAATACAATGAAAACGGCAATTGTAAGTAAGACCTATTTTGTTCATTTGCTAATTGTTATCTACTGAGAAAATTATTTGCTTTATAAAATCTTTTCCACAAATGATAGCTAAAGTCGTCTTCCTATTCCATAGATTTATGGGTCTCAATGTAAATTATATATACATGCTTATGCTTTTTGGCCCTTGGGTGATAAAGATGAAAATCATTATACAATATTTTTCAAAGCAATTAAATTATGAAAAACTTGGATCAGTAATTATGAGGACTGACATTTATTTGTTTTATGATAGCGTTTCAAATATCTTTGTTTCTTGCTGGAGCACAAGTTCTTAAAGCAGCAAATTTTTTCTCTTCAGATTTTATCAGTTCAATTTTCAATCAAACCCCAAATACAAATTTGATCAAAATTAAATTTCAAAAAAAAAATTGACAATCTAAAATTTTGTAAGTCATTATTTATATATAAATATATTTTAATCATTATTTGATACATAGTTGAACTTAATAGTACAAGCGGTAAAAACAATCAAATCTTTTTTATATTGTACAGAACAAATATATCCTTTGTTCATTTTAAAAATTTACATTAACGTACTGAAGTTAAAGTGCAAAATAAAAACAAAATATTTATGTTTGTTGCTTAATAAAAGGAAACTGCAAGGACTGCATTACACATAAGAGTGAAAATATAATTTTTTTGATTTAGTTATACTTTCTAAATTTATTTGAGCACAATTTAGAAACTATGTGCTATTGGATAGTAAATAAAAGCACATTTTATATTACAAAATAAGTTCCGTTTTATTATACAGCACATATTACAACCATACATGCTTTATTGTGCAGTTGTAGATACATCAATTAAAAAGATTTCGATACAAGGCACAAGGAAAATTATTGATATTTCTAAGGACGTTGAATTGAATCTATCTCATTTTCCCATCAAGGGTTCAAAGCGAAACCTTTATTGGATATTCTATGGTAGGATTTTAAGATTTCTTCTATTAGAAAACTAATAAACTACGTCCGTATTAGTTTGAAGAGGGGAGTGGGGGGATACTTTGGCGATGCCTTTTTAGTCTATATAAGAGGTTTAATTGCATATTATTAGGAAAAAGTACTTATTTTAACCAGATCCGGGATTCGAATTATCAATAATAACCATTTTTAAAATTGATTCTGGTACAGCAGAATACACCTAGCATCATATCACAGTAATATTAATTGATTTTCTGACCAAGTTAATATAATCTTCAAATAAACCAATTAATGTTTCTTGTTAAAATATAATTTCCAATAATGTTTTTAATATACTGTCACAGATTCAGTGTAAGACATCGAATATTTGACTATGTTGAACAATTTAAGATTTCGGATTTTCACATGGCTCCATAAATTTTAAACTTTATTCTCTAAGATTAAGTTTTTAAAATACTAATTATGAAAAAGAAACAGAGTCACAGACATTTACGTTGGAGATATCATCATTATGGTTTTCAATTTTGTCAACTTTTAAAATTTCTAAATATTCCTTTGAAAGTCAAAATACCAATTAATATTGAAGAAACGGATAAAACTGTGCCTCACTCTAATCACAATTGCACCTTTTGGTTAATTTTCAAACATTGCCTTTTTATTAACAATATTTTTTGGAAAATATTTAAGATTTGATTTTAAAAACATTTATGTTTTTGATTATTAACTGTATTAAAATATTATTTAATAGACCTATAGCAGAAGATTAAAAGGTCCAAATACATAAAAAATGACAACCATTTTCATCCCGATTTATTTAGTTTTGGTACCATAATAAAAATGCCTAGACCTAATATATAAGATATAATTGGTTGTCATGGATAGTAAGTAGTAGTTCTTATTAGCTTGACAAGAGAGGAGTTTCACCAGGTTAATAAATCAGTTAAACATTACAAAAGCCGTGGCGACTTCTAATACCAAAAAACTGTCATTTAACCCATTGTTTTTATTTTCAAATTTTAAAACTTATTTTAGCCCTCTTAAAAAAATGGTAACGGTCCTAGTTTTAAAGATTTAGAAAAAGAGTTTCTTAAAGGGACAGTAAAGGAAAAATGAAAGGGGGTATAGGCTGAAAGCTAATCACTTTAGCTCTTGATCGTGACCCATGAAAGTTTTATCTGATGTTCCTGTCTCGAGAAATTGATTTAAACTGTGTTGCAATTATACGAAAATTCATATATGTAAAATTTAGAAAATCTGAAACTTAAATCACGTGACCAGAAATACCATCAATGGCAGAGCAGTATACTGGTCACGTGTCTCCGCCTGTATCACGTGACCACTTTACTACACTGCCATTGGTGGAATTTCTGGTCAAGTAATACGGATGTAAAAATAATATTATGAATTAAATCTGTTGAAAATAGAAACAACAAATATAAAAGTAAACCTAAATTACAATTAGCTTTCTCTGGGATATCATCGTTTTCAGATTGGTTGCTTATTTGCTGAATATGATCTGTTTAAACCTACTACTTTTATACAAAATTGTATATATATTAATTTTCGTATAGATTTGACACAGTTTTGTATCAATTTCTCGAGACAGGAACATCAGATATGATTTTCATGGGTCGCGATCAAGAGCTAAAGTGATTAGTTTTCAGCCTATACCCCCTTTCATTTTTCCTTTACTGTCCCTTTAAAGGTACTTCTTGAACAAGATATTTTTAATCACTGCTGATCGTTCGTGACAAAATGAGTAAAAATAAAGTTTGACAATTACCCTAAAATATACATCTGAGGAAGACAATTGTTTTATTTACAGGGGTCACTGTAGTCGTAATATTAAGTTACTCTCTATTTGAAAAAAGTGCCATGTCCTATTCACAATTGTACTCTTGAAAATCTTGTCTTGATAATCAAGATAAAATTATAGATATCCAAAATACGACTATTTCTTCCATATCCTTGAGCAGATAAAGGATTAAATGGTACCGTTGTGATTTGGTCATACCTCTTTTTTAATTAGGACACTTTAAAATACGCTTACAAAAATCTTATACGCTTATAAAAATCTGAACAGGGTCTGGGTCTATAGGTATAACATATTTTTTATCAGAAGTTATGACAAAGAAAAGAGAAAAAATAAACATAAATGTATAAGGCTTCTAAGAGGACAGCAAACTAATAAGATGACTTATGAAAAAGGCTTCTTTTCTTCAAAGAAAACTTGATTAGTAAAGATATTTATAAATTAGACTAAATTTGGATAAGAAGTTTTTATTTACTTATATGTTTTTTTGGAAAAAGATTTGCGACAAGAGGGAATCAATAAAAGAAAGATTAGAGATCATTGATCTGAAATGTATTAAAGGGATGGAATGAGTAATTTCATGAGTCTCTCCATTTAAAGATTTTCCAATTCACAATGATACTCTTAAAATTTGTGTGTAGTTAATGATGAATGACATATTCTTGTTATAAATAAACTTCATTATTTTCCTTCTTCGGCTCTCCCTACAAGAGACAAGTAGATGTTTGCAACCGGGAGAAATAGGAAATAATCATAATTAAACACGTTCATGAGGACTGTTGGCGTATTCAACACGTTTATGAGGACTGTGGGCGTATTCAACATGTTTATGAGAACTGTTGGCGTATTCTATACGTTTATGAGGACTGTGGGCGTATTCAACACATTTATGAGGACTGTGGGCGTATTCAACACGTTTATGAGGACTGTGGGCGTATTCAACACGTTTATGAGGACTGTGGGCGTATTCAACACGTTCATGAGGACTGTGAGCGTATCCAACACGTTTATGAGGAGTGTGGGCGTAAGTGCACACACTCCATGCAAAGATGGCAATGCCCGAATCACAGGGATAGCAATTGAAAACTTTTTCTATCTACTGCGTGAAATATGTTGTCGTTTTTGGTTATAAACGTGTTTAATTCCCATGATTCCTTAATGTTTTCATGTCGTTAAATGTAAAGAAACCACAATAAAATTTAATCAGTTTTCAAATTTATGAACATTGTTATATAATTCTTACTTTAGCGGACAAATCTTTTATGGGTACCGTTATGAATCTGGCATTGTAAACTATGTATGAAGAGTTAATGGAAATTACGCTTACAGTCCCTTTAAAGATAGAACAACGACGACATCTTCCTAATTGTTGATCTGATTAATGTTTAGAGGGAACTCATGCGAATCGGAAATTCTACTCATCAAATCAAGAGTTCCCTGAAATTACGTCTACTTTCCCTTTAATGAAAGGAATAAACATCTTTGGACAACAACCCGTTAGAGTAAATATGAATATTCTACAATTGTCTATAATGTGTAAATACAGGGTGTCCCATTAAACATGACGGTGGAAAACGACCTAAAGGTCTCCACTCTACACGCCTTTGAAATCATTTGCAGCATTCAGTCGTCTCCTTCATATTACAAGTATGGATATGATTTCCCCTATTTTTGGGATTTGCAAAATATGGTCAGCTATTTAAGCTTTCTTTAATAGTGATGTACAAGTTCCGTCAGATTTCTAATTAATAAATTAAACAAAAATGGCCCTTCGGCAAGATAAATTTATAAAAGTTTATAAAAATTCATGCAAAATCTGTATATTCACACTTAAAGATGGCAATCAAAGAACAAAGATGATCTTAAAATCGTCAACCAACTGTAAAGTTTAGTTAGAAACCCTGTATCACAATTTATGTAAAGCGCTGTTTAGTTATGAGTTGGAACTAATTTTGTCTGAATTATGCATGCTATAATTGATAGATAAATGGACTGAATTTTCGGTATTAGGAACTAATTCTGGAATGTATCTTGTTTTAGCATCGGGTGTTTCTGTATCCGAAGGGACTGGAATGTATTGTGTATCCTTGACAGGTTCAGTGCTGTATTCTCTATCCGAGGATATTTTGTGACCTGGATCTTTTTCCTGGGTTTCTAGTTCTCCATTATTATTGTCTCCTCCCATTGTTATACTAAAAATTTTAAAAATTAATATCTATTTTCTCTGAAGTGTCTTCATGTTAACCAATATGCTTAAATATTTGGATTGTACCCAGGGCTATAGGCAAATCAGAAATTAAAAATGTTGCCTCAACATAATTTTAATTTTTTTTGTTTCTATTAGTAATAATTTTAAATGTTGGAAAGATTTGGCCAGTTAAAATAATATTTGGCTTTTACAACTTTGGACTTAAATGTTTTTGGAATTCCGCCAATGAAAACAGATCAAGTAAAAAATTATTTCGTTACGTACGTGGCAAAAATAGTTGTATTTAAAGGTACAAGAAATGGGTGACCGCGAAGCGCCTTAGAAGCGTAATAATCTGTTCTATTATATATCTTATACCTGGTTACATCTCTGACAAACATCTCCGCGACCTGCCAGGCCATTTCCTCCTGTAATCTGATCTGCTCGTTTCCTCGACCCAACCTTCTCACCTTACCAATCAACCCTCCTTCCTGCAAAACATAAATTTACAATTCATTTTAATTTTCAAGTACCAAGGCGACATATTAACAAATAGAACAATATGTAAGTACATATATAGCACAAATAGAACAATATGTAAGTACATATATAGCACAAATAGAAGGCAAAATGATCAGTACACCAGATCAAAAATCCCTTCTAGTGAGATTAAGATGCTTTCTTTCAACTGACTTGTAAATTTTTTTTTTTTTTAAAAAAGGAATAGGGTACAAATGAAAAAAGGAGGTGGTAGCTGTTTGGCCTGTACACCTTTTGTAATTGTTATTTTCCTTAACTTAAAACAAAATTTTTCATTTGGAGTATAGCTACAAACAATATGAGGGTAAAATCCTCCACTTCCGAATTTTTAAGATTAGTAAATGCTTGATTTTACAAGTAAGATGCATTTCCTTTTATATTTAAAAAAAATAAGAATTTGTTCGATAAGGAAATAATCGACGTTTTTAATTCCATAAAAAGTTGTCTGGCAAAACTGTTTGTCTGCTAGAGTTGCGCAGACATCGCGCTATTATCTCATTTTTGATTTGACATTTGTACTATGTGTACTTCACCGTATAACTCGGTCGAGAAGTAGAAAAGAAGAAGCATTGTGACAATAAACAAAGTGCTTACATTGGTACTGAAACTGGTATCAAAGTCGTCGTAATAAAGAATTTCTTATATAAAACATAAATATAATTTAGATGAAATATCTTTTGAAAAAAGTTCTTAACTTCCACTTTATTTGTATTCAAAATTCACCGTTCAACGAAATCCCGTCAATGTACTTCCTTGGTTTTCTAAGATGTATGTAACATGATTTATTGATTTACAGGATATGTTGTAGGGAGGACAGTTTGTTAAAAAGTTATTTTTATTGAAATATTTAAGTGATTTCAAGGAGAAATTCTTAAACGATTTCAATCAAAATTTTACAACAAGTTTTAACGTAAAATTCTTCTTTTCCAACAATAGTGTGTTTATTTTAAAAATGTTAAGTTTCTTTGCCCCCTCGAAAATATTTCTGTACTAAACCTGCCGACTAAGTATGAATACAGTCTAGGAAAGTAATTTGTAACACAAATACCATGTCCAGATCCAAACCAACTCTTTTCCCCCCTCACCTTGAGAATATCTGGAGGTTTCTCCCAGCTGGAGTGGTATCTACCAAGATAATCAATCTTACCGACTTTAGACCTGAATTAATTTTTTAATGAAATATTATTCAATATAATTTTACAATTTACTTAGTGTCCAACTAAACATTGAATCTGAGCTGAGCTGAAAACTTTAGAATGGGATATCCTTAATCCTGATCGGATAATTAATCTGGAGATTAAAAATGAGTTGAGAACAAGCAATATTTAATCTCGAGATTAAGAAGAAGAGTGGAATCCCGATATCCACCATTCTAAAGTTTTCAGCTCTGGGAACTTTAGAATGGATAACCTTTAATCCCAACTACTTAATCCGAATATCCACTGTGGAAACTTTTAATTTTAGTCATTAATTCACTCTTTTTCTCTTTCTTTGGATATCGTTAATAGTATTGACCATGACAGCCTTGAAAATAAATTCTATCCCATGAGAGAAATCCGCAATTTCTAACAAATAAAAAAAATGTTGTCGGCCATTTTGAGATTTTTTTTAACCAATTTTATCTAATGTATTAACAAACAAATGTGTAAGAAATTAAGTGAAGGCCCTTCCAGTCAAAAAAACGAACAAATCTGGCGTTCCTAGAATCAAATTTGTTGATCTAAATATTTAATCTCGAGACTAACATAATCTCGAGATTATGTTAGTCTCGAGATTAGCTAAAAGAGAGGATTAAGCATTAATCTCGATATCCACCATTCTAAAGCTCCCAGCTCTGAAAAATGAAAAAGATATTGAAAAAAGATATTAAAACACAAATAAAAAATTGGTGGAAAAACCAATTCCCCTGTCTTTTAACTGTTCAAGAGTGATGTTTGTAAAACTAGGTTAACGACTGAATCCCGCCAAACTATTAAAGAAGATTTCATGTCAATATCTCGTTCTCAAAAAATTGAATGTTTTGTGAGACACTCTGTACTTCATAATGAATAATAAATTATTTTTAAATTCTTTTTTTAGTCTTACTTGATAGGCTTTCGTTTCCAGATAGAGTCAGGATCAGTTAGGGCACCGTTATCTATTCTCAAACTTCCAAACCTAAACAATAAGGGTATTGTAAATCTATTCTCCTTCCAAACCTTAACAGTTATGACACTGCTATCTATTCTCAACTTCCAAACCTAAACATTTATGGCACTGTTTTATCTTCTCAAACTTTTACACCTTAACATTTAGGGCACCGTTATCTACTCTTAAGCTTCCAACCCTGAACAGTTAGAGCACAGTTATCTATATCTTAAATTTCCAAACCATAACAGTTTCTTACAAGCCTTAACAGTTAACAGCTAGTGCAGCGTTGCCTTGTCTATTCTTAGGCTTTTAAATCCTAGCGGTTAGGGTATCGATAACTGAAAAAGTTCGCATTTTTTATCTTGAATATATTTCTCTAAATTTCTAAATTATCTACCTTTCTACCGGAGAGAGCTTATCCCCGGTAGCTAGCAGAGTATTCCTTTGAACACCAAGATGGGATAATCTGGAACAAAAAATATAAGCTTTAAAAACACAGTTATATAAAAACGAAGCCAAACTCTGGAACTTTAACAAACTTATTAAATCAAAAGCAGATAAAAAGTTAAGCATTTTCTATTTTGTACAAAGGATTTTCAGAATCGATTAATTTCTTTTTATTATAAAGTTTTATGTGAAGGGTTTTTGTTTCATTTTCCTTGAAATAGGCGAGCCCGCCAGGGGGAGGGAGCGGGGGGCAGGGCGCGGGATAAAAAGACTTTTACACTAATGGGTTAAGGTTCCAAAACAAACCAACCAACCAACAAACAAAAAAACAGTCAATCATCATTTCATAGAATTCAAGGCTGAGCCTCCCTCAAAAATAATTTGAATACAATTATTAATATTAACATGCCAAAAAGATTCTGGCATTATGAGCTAAGTTGGCAGAAAAAGAACTAGCACTTGTAACCAAAGTTTGCTAAAAATGACTTTTTCACTTATGGGTAAAGTTTGCAAAAAATGACTTTGTCACTAATGGGTTAGTTTTACCAGTTTACCTGCTCGATGACTCACTGTTACAACTACTGATACTCTCGCTGCTGTTACATCTGTTGAGGTTGTTGTGCCCACGCATTGTTGTTGTTGTTGTTGTGATTGTTGTGATGTTGGTTTTTACAGGAGATTGTATAGAGGGTTTACTGCAGTTCTACAACATTTTATTGATAATTAGATTTTTTAATTTTAAGGGAGTTTTCGTAATAATTAAGAAGTGTTGGGTAAACAATCATTTTAGTGATTGTAAATTGTACAAGTTCACTTATGCAAAGAGAATTTGACACACACCTTCTGGGCAAGACATCCCAGAATATTTCCTTTTTCTAAGGTAAATTTTAACTCTTTGATAAAATCCAATTTTTAGAATTTCTCACCAACAATTTTGTCCTTACTCGTGGTTTTATTGGATGTGATTCAAAACTCCTTTTATTTATTCCTTACTTTAATTTTTATCTCTCTCTCTACATACTTTATTTAAATTCTGTTAAGTTTGCGTGGGTTTACTTTTTTCTAATCTAGAGGTCTATTTGTAAACTTATAAAACAAGCATTTCAGTTCATTTTTATAATTAATTATAATTTTTAAGTTTATAATTAAGCAATAAACAAAGTGACAAAAAAGAGATGTCTATTATTAACCATTTCTCCCAGAATGCAACACACTATATAATGTTTTCACGAAAGAAAGTTTTAGAGAAGAATTTTCATTAAAATATTTGATATTAATAAATTTCTAAAACCCACTGTGTCCCGTCATTCATTGGAGAAGAGATAATTTTGTAACATCAAACAACGCGTTTACCGTCATCAAAAGAAAATTTAATTTAGAGGAGAAATTTATTTTTTTATGAAAGAGCCCTTTCATCTTTAACGTTCAGAAACACAAAGACTTAATTATCCTTTCGTCAACGTCAAGAACAGCTTTAAAAATAATATTTGAAAAGAAAAATCCCCGAACACACACACCACCCTTACCAGGGGCATATATCTTCTTAATAAATCACCCCCCACCCCCACCCCCCTACATATAATCTAAAATTTTTCTTCTTAAAGCATCTACCCCCGATGTAGGGGGGTTGTGTCTTTAAAACATTTACAGGGTTATCCACAATGGATGAGACTAAGAAGACGACCTGAAACTTCAAAAACATGAGGATTTCAAGGATAAATTAATTTTTCTGTCTTGAATAAAGTCTTTTAGTGGCTTATTTGATGATAAAGTAATTAAATAAACTAAGTTTTAGGAAATGATGACTATAAGGAGACAGCCAGTTTAAATTTTTATAGTCGCCTCTGTAGTCTCATCCTTTGTGGGTAACCCTGTACCCTTGCAAATCCCCCCCCCACCCCCTCGAAATAGACTAAGTCCCTCACCTGTATAGATGAAATAAGTTCCTTGACGTATGATTGGAAAAGGGTGGAAGCCAGAAACTTCGTTAAGTATTTGGTTTCTATATAGGCCAGCAGTATACGGAGTGCCCTACAATACAGTACTGTACAATTTCATGCTAGTACGGTCAAGTACAGTGTAGTAATTAAGGTGACCAGTAAAATAGATAACCATTACAACACTACAGAGAGGTGCAGGTAAAAATGGTAGAAATTGGTAAGCAATATTTTCCTTTTAATATTCAATTTAAAATTTTCAGCAAAATTCACTTCCTCCTCCCTTCCCCACTCTTTTGGAAATCCGTCTTCCCCCATTCCTTTTGATCATAAAAATATTCCTGGGAGACAATAAATAAATAATGATACCTGAGCTGAAAACTTTAGAACGGTGGATATCAGGATTAAGGCTTAAACCACTCTTTTTCTTAATATCCAGTTTAAATATTGCTTGTTCTCCACATGAATTTAAACTCCAGAGAAGCAACGTGATCAGAAAATTGGATATTTCATTCTAAAGTTTTCAGCTCTGGAGAAGCAGTGTATCCCGGGCCCAGTATACTGGGAGATAATTACAGTATTTATAATGATACCTGGAGAAGCAGTGTATCCCGGGACAAGTATACTAGGAGATAATTACAGTATTTATAATGATACCTGGAGAAGCCATGTATCCCGGGACCAGTATACTGGGAGATGATTACAATAATAATAATGATACCTGGAGACGCAGTGTTTCCCGGGACCAGTATACATGGAGATGATTACAATAATAATAATGATACCTGGAGAAGCACTGTATCCAGGGACCAGTATACTGGGAGATGATTACAATAATAATAATGATACCTGGAGAAGCAGTGTATCCCAGGACCAGTATACATGGAGATGATTACAATAATAATAATGATACCTGGAGAAGCACTGTATCCCGGGACCAGTATACTGGGAGATGATTACAATAATAATAATGATACCTGGAGAAGCACGGTATCCCGGAACCAGTATACTGGGAGATGATTACAATAATAATAATGATACCTGGAGAAGCAGTGTATACCAGGCCCAGTATCCTGGCAAATATTATTCTCTATTTCCAACCGAATACTGTCATCAAATCCCAGGGGATTACTAGCCTAGTAGAGAGACGAGCAAATCAATAAATCAATAAATCTATCTTTATATTAAGTTGAAATTTTTATTCTGGTACGAAGAGAATACGATATAAAAGCGCTTTTGATCGCCACTAATCTTCCTTCTATCTGTTGCGTCTATAAGGAGAAAATTGTTAAAGACGTCTCATACCGAATAACATGGCATCCATACAAATTCAGAAAATTGCAACATACGACTTAGACCGTAAAAAAATCAATTTAATTTCAAACAAATCATTCAGATATTACAACCTATAGTCGTCGATTATCTTTCGCCAAATTTATATATAGTTGATTTTTCATAATATGTTTTAATTGTTATGATCTGAGAGTTCCTGTTTTGAGGATTTTTGGTAATGAAGACGACATTTTCATATTTTCCAGGAATGTTCGAAAACAAGTTGTAAGCTAAATATTAAAACCAACCAACCAACCAACCAACCAACCAACCAACCAACCAACCAACCAACCAACCAACCAACCAACCAACCAACCAACCAACCAACTAACCAAACGTTAATCTAAAAGGGAAAAATAAAGTTTAATTTTTAAGTATTACAAAACTACAAAATAAAACTATCAAGAAGGAAATGTTATAGAAACTATTTTATTAAAAAAAAGGTAAAAAGGGTTATGGAAATATTTGTAGTTTTTATCAATTAAACTTATGGTCCTCTCGAGAATATTTAATCCATTCCTTGTATTTAAACTAAATCCTCGAATCTCAACACCTGCTATTAAAGCTAACTAGCTATTTTTAAACAGTGTTGTGCTGGGAAAGGAGTGAAGAGGAGTGTTTGATTTTTATTTAAGTGTTAAATTAAAAAGAAATAAAATCTACCTGCATTGAAAAATATTTGTCGTACAGTATCATCGCATCATGGGTAGTTTCTCCGGAACTCTCATCATCGTTACTAAATTATGTTTAACGTTCATCAAGTGTCAGAATAATCAAAATATTAAAAAATTAAAAATCTGTATGCCAGTTTGAGATGAACTAGGATTAAGGAAGAACTTTACACTGGTTCCATATTATAAAGTCTGATCTCAAAACTTGTATCTTAAATCCGGGCCCATTTTCTAATTATCCCTCGGTGAATTTCTCTTATATTTCCTAAATAAACCCTGGCTCATTGCTACACACTGCTCGAAATTATTAAACCTGTTAAAGAACTACTGGAAACTTTGAATCTGGCTAATGGCTTTAAATTGCTAGAAATTATTAGACCTTGCAATGGACTGCTGGACGTTATTAAACCTTATGGACAGCTGGAAGTTATTAAACCCTGGCTATGGACTGCTAAAAATTATTTGACCTGGCTATAAACTGCCAAAAATTATTAGACCTGGCTATGGACTGCTGGAAGTTGTGAGCTGACATCCAGAATTCTACAACAGCCCTCTGCCCCTCAGCCTCCATGAACTCCATCAAGTGGAAGAGTGCTACGTCGTTGTAGAGTAGGTCGGTAATAACAAGCTATAAATATGCATAAAATAAAATAATTTATTTTATCTTTTTTCATTTATCACGTTGTATTAAGGTTTAATGGGCGTAATGAAACCCTCTTTCCAGTAATAAACTTAGCCTTTTGTCACTGATCTATCAATCTGCGAACTCTGCTTTTTCATAAAGTTTAAGCTTTACATTTGCGCATTTTCCATTCTACTTTGTTGGTAAAATTCCATATCAATCGAATATAACCTCTTCACGTTGCCAAATATACATACGGTAATAGGCGATTATATCAATATAAGACGACTTTCGGTTTCATTTTTATTTATATCAAGCTTGTAAACAACATGGATTCACGAAAACATGGAAACAAAGAGAAGCTATCAAGTAAAAAGCTTCTCTTTAATTACTTGTAAACGTGTAATTCGAAAAAAGGTTGTTAACAATAAAAACTTAAATAAAAAGTCATCTTCATTATATTGACATAATCGCCTATAACCGTATTTTACACGCAATTTTTGTTATCTGTTGCGCGGAATATTCTTGTTGAACGTTATTCATCTTTTACACAGAATTGTTATTGAAGAGATTTTCATTAAGTAGGAGAAAAGAGATATTTAATCAATGATACATGAATGGACAAAACTTCATCAACGGGATTAATCAAACAAATTGTATAGTTTCATCTTTTGTACATGTAACACAGTAAAAGAGATATTTAATCAATGATACATGAATGGACAAAACTTCATCAACGGGATTAATCAAACAAATTGTATAGTTTCATCTTTTGTACATGTAACACAGTAAAAGAGATATTTAATCAATGATACATGAATGGACAAAACTTTTTCAACGGGATTAATCAAACAAATTGTATAGTTTCATCTTTTGTACATGTAGCACAGTAAAAGAGATATTTAATCAATTATACATGAATGGACAAAACTTTTTCAACGGGATTAATCAAACAAATTGTTTAGTTTCATCTTTTGTACATGTAGCACAGTAAAAGCATCACGTGCATAAATATAATGTATTAATCTTTGATTTGGTAATCTTTACGTTAAAAAATTTGCACGCATGAATATTGAATACATATGAAAAATGGACGGACGGCTGATTTTTTACATGAATTAATAGTGCCGACACTTTGATTAAAGGGTTGCATAAAAAGTTGATAATTTTCAAATGCGGTCCTCTATAAAAGGCAAGAAAATTTAGATCTATTTAAAAAGACAAACAAAGATATCTTTCTCATTAGTAAACCCATTAGAGATGTAACGCTTTAATCGGAGGGTCACTTGAATTTATATCGACAGTCCCTTTAATGTGTACCTTGCCCCCTGTCAGAACATCTAACTGGTGTTTAGCCTGGTATTCACTCTCCTGGAATCCAGGATAGTGTTCAGACTCAAGTACACACAATACTTCATCCTAGACATTACATATTTTAAATGGTTAAAAATTAAATCCCCCCTTTCCCACAGGAACATATTTTTGGTAGCTTTGGGGGGGATTAGAGGGAAGCAGGGGCTTATTTTGTAAAATGTATTTATTTACACCCAGATATAAGGTATGTTACACGCAGCGGCAAAAATGTATTAGTTGTGTATTTGCTGGATTGTGGGAAATAAAGGATGTTTAGGGTCAAATATAGGATTTTTAGAGTATCAAAAAACTAGCATTAGGTCTAATTTTTCATATTTTCCCCCCGACCATCAAAAATCATTGATGAAAAACGGACTTGCATTATTATTTTCTTAGAAATTTTTCATATTTTGAAGGTGAGGGATGCATGGGCCGGGTGTTATTTCATTGGTGCAATGTACATTAGGGTGACACACGAATGTACATTAGAATGACACAAGAATGGGTTTCAAATTTTTTTTGGGGTGCACAGATTCTATGGGTGATGTGGCCCAATATGAGCATTTTATGAAAATTTTAGGTTGATCGGAGCATTACATCAGGTGGAAATTGTTTTCTGGTTTTCACCAAAATCTTTATTTTTGGTGAAGGTGAATGACCTCCGATCCTAAATTTTCTTTGTAGAGGGCCACAATGGTTGGCTACATGCAAAATTTGATATCATAGATTATTGAATTGTTTATTGCTCCCCTATCCTGAACAAAAATCGAGATTTTTTCTGAAATTACTTCCACCTTAACTCATCAAGTTTTTGCATTTTAATACTAAGGGTCGACATCACCCAGAAAACCTATGCAACTTTGCACAGTGCACAGTGTACAGTGTATAGTGTAGTGTACAGTGTACACTGTACAGTATGCGTACCTGGGCATGAAGGAAGCAGTCAGGATCCACAAAACCAGTTTCATCACAGATTAGTTCAACGATATCACGTGTCATTTCAGTAGGAATACAGATCGAAGTAGCACTATCAGGTGCTATATATCTAGATACATATATGGAGTAGCAATATCAGGGGCTATATATCTAGATAAAAATATGGAGTAGCAATATCAGGGGCTATATATCTATATAAATATATGGAGTAGCACTATCAGGTGCTATATATCTAGATAAATATATGGAGTAGCAATATCAGGGGCTATATATCTATATAAATATATGGAGTAGCACTATCAGGTGCTATATATCTAGATAAATATATGGAGTAGCACTATCAGGGGCTATATATCTAGATAAATATATGGAGTAGCAATATCAGGGGCTATATATCTATATAAATATATGGAGTAGCACTATCAGGGGCTATATATCTAGATAAATATATGGAGTAGCACTATCAGGTGCTATATATCTAGATAAATATATGGAGTAGCACTATCAGGTGCTATATATCTTGATAAATATATGGAGTAGCAATATCAGGGGCTATATTTCTATATAAATATATGGAGTAGCACTATCAGGGGCTATATGTTTAGATACATATTTGGAGTACCATTAGTAGGGGCTAAATATATCTATATAAATATATGGAGTAGCACTATCAGGGGAAATATATCTAGATAAATATATGAAGTAGCATAGACAGGGCCCAGGGGCTATATATTTAGATAAATGTTAACCAAGACAATTCAAAATTTGCATTAAAACCCTACCTCCCACCCCCACCCCCTCCCACACCCCATCCCCATCTCTAAAAACATACATTTTCTTAAAACCTAAAAATATTTGCATGAAAACAAATAAAACTCCAACCTTCTGTAAATGTTAAGAGCATCTTCAGTTCTAGATTTTAGAATAGATTCTTTTCGTCCATATTCTTCAGACTCCAAACCACCACTCTGCATTTACAAACATCAGAATTCATGCTTTAATTTCATCCAGGGGTATTAATTGCCTTGGAGTTAGGTTAACCCCCGCCCCTTTGAAATCATTTTCTTGCGAACATATAGTCCTGATTAGTGATAACATTGACATTCCAAACAAGAATTCAAAATTTTAATCTTTGAAAAAATGTCATCTATACACACAGATACAGTATAAAGTAAACATATTTAATGAAAATATTTCATCATGAACATGTTAACAATTATATTTAGCTTGACAACACATTTAAAGGGACTGTGTGTTTCTAATGTAGAGTGGTGTGTCCGATTTATGACGATATCTCTTAAACCTTTTTCTCATAAATAATGTGGAAGAATATGTTGCTTGAGAAGTCCCGAATTTTTGAGAAACCACGAATGAAAATAATCATTTTTCAAAAACAAAAATTAACATTTAAATATAATTCATACTTGATCAGACAACTTTTTTAAAGGATACCGGTGTAAATTGGAATGCCACTTTATCAATGAGTGGTCACTTGAAATCAAGTTTACAATCCATTTAATGAAAATATTTAGTCCCGATCATGTGTACAATTATATTTCTTAACTAGCTTGATGAAACATTTATGCATAATTTCAAGAGAACCTCCATTTGCAACGATACCCTTGAAACCTTAATCTAATCAATATTGTGGAAGGAAAAGTTTATCTAGCTTAGGAACTCGTTAATTCTCTTAATTTCTCCATTCTTTCCGAAACAAAAAATACGCAAGACACTTTTTAAGAGCAACCAAAAATGAAAATAATCAGTTTTTAAACAAAAACATTGATATATTTTTTAATACTTGATGAAGACAAATGTTTTTAGGGTACCGACACCGTTGCGAATTGGAATGCCACTTTATCAATGAATAGTCACTTGAAATCAAGTTTACAGTCCATTTAATAAAAATATTTAATCTAGATCCTGTTTCCAATTATATTTCTTAACTCACTTGACGAACCATTCAAGGAGAAGCTAGTTTTATCAAGGAACGTGAGACGAAGAGTTTTATAATAGTATATTATGCGTAGGAAGAAAGTGTGATAATCAAAATTATTGTTATAATATTAAAAGAAAAAAACGTGGAATAATTTTGATTATTCACTGAATGGCGCAGCCTGAGGTAAATCCGATAAGAATATGGTATAATAATCATTATTTAAAGGAGGTGGAATTAAATAAAGACCAATGTATAAGATAGAAAATTTCTTGACATCTTTAAACTGTAAGATCTTAACCTGATGGTTAGAGGACTGATTGGAGGATGGAAAGGATGCCACAGAGCCTCCGATGGATGAGCAGGAGCCTGTACATGATCCTTCGGGAGTACAAGCACCTGTACATGACGCACTACATGTACATGATGAACTACATGTACATGAAGGTGTATTAGGATGCCCTGATTCTCTTCCGGATTCAAATTCTTTTGAGAATCCTGAGTCGAAACTTTCTGATTCAGAGGCTGAAAAATTAGAAATTTATTAATTTTTAGGAAAAAAAAATAAATATATTTCTTTAATTACTTTATTGCTGGATTACCGGATTATTTTTCACTTTGAGATAACTTTTGCGAGTCACTATATCTTTTTGTTTCTATTAATAGTATATAAACCTTTCAGTGTTTGACATTGAAGAAATATGTTTATAATACATGATCTTGAAACTAATAAATAAAGCGACATTTTTATGTCTACTCTAGCAATGTTACATCTCAAGCTATAAAAGTGCCTCCTAAAAGCTAGATTGCACAATTGTGCGTTGTGTTTCATATTGCTGTAGGAAATCTGGTATCTCGTTGACTTTTTATACAATTATGCAAGACATTGAGGGTGTACTGAATATTTTTCAGAACTATTACNAAATTAAACATCAAAAGGCAACTTTTTTCATTCTTTTTGATACTTTAAACCTAAAAATTTATACCGAATAAAACCCAAAATAAAGCAATTCATATATATAAGTTCTAGGGGAAAAAGTAATTTTCAAATGTTGAATTTGGTTCGATTGAACCTAGAATCACTGAGCAAACAACTTCTTTGCCTCAACAAATAAATTCAAATATAAAACAAACAAAAACCTTAATTTGCAGAATGTTTTAAGATTTAGAAACTTAAATATTCTCTATACTTTCTAATCATAATCTCAGAGAAAAGGGATCGTAAACGTCAATTTTAAGAAATTGTCAATCTTAGCAGTGCCTTCAATATATCACAAAAGTACCCTTAAGTAAAAACCAAACTAAAAAGGTATTTAATTTCGAAGAACATACAAGGTGAGTCAAAAAAAGTGTGACTAGCGGCGCCTGGTGCAAAGTTGTACTTTTTGTGCAAATCTCCTGTATGGTGTTTTTTCAATACTATTTTTATCAAATTCTAAAACTTTATAGAAATTGAATCACAGAATCACAGAATATTTGGAAAATTGTAACAAGAAAATTCGCAATTTTCATTTCTGGTCTAATTTTTAAGGAAAACTATTTTAAATCCTCTAGTTCCTTTCTTCTTAATTTATTCTAAAGAAATAAATATACGCTATTCAGTTAAAACCTGAAGAGACAGTGAAAATCAACTTTTCCTCAAAAATTAGACCAGAACTGAAAATTGCGAATTTTCTTGTTACAATTTTGCGAGTTTTCTGTTCTTCTGTGATTCAATATTTATAAAATTTTAGAATTTGATAGAAATAATATGTATACAAATTTTTGCTTTTCTGAACTTTTGATTTTGAGAGAAAAAAAGTTCGCAGATTTTTTTGGGGCCATTGGAGTACCAAAAAAATGAAAAATTTCCAAAAAATATTGAAAAAAACACCATACAGAAGAGTTAAAGGTACAACTTTGCACCAGACGCCGCTAATCACACTTGTTTTTTGACTCACCCTGTATTTGTCTTCAAGATTGTTGTCACAACAAAAAATCATGATTTTCCATAATAAATCATTTTTCATCATTTTTCCACACACATTCATACTTTTAAAAGACAAAATCAAAAATTTTCATCACAAAATCATTGTTTTCACACAAAAAATAACTTTAAATATTTCCGCACAAAATTATTTGTTTTCACCACAAAAAAAATCATCTGAAAAAATAAGATCATTATTTTTCAAAACGATTCAATAGTTTCAGTTCATTGTTTTTCCACACAATAATTTATCAATTTTCCACAAAATCAGTAATTTTTCATACAAATTTACAATTTACCTAAAAATCATTATTTTCCCCCACAAAATCATTAACTTTCAACTAGCATTAAAAAGTTGTTATATTATTTTTACCTATATTGTGAAGAGATGATGAGGAGGAGGGGGAGGGAGCTGAGGAACTTGGCTGGGAACTCGACTCAAGGGAGCTATTTTCAGGAACACGTTCCAGTCTCCCTCGTTCCTCATCGATCCCTCGGGAACAATGCCGCGGCGAGGAGCGCACAAAATCCGCGGAGTTTCTTAAAATACAGATTATTTACACAACTGGAAAGTTTTTATTCCAATCTATACAATAGTATACAAAAGGCTGGCGCTCCGCGTAATCATTATCAACAGCGCGCGTGAGGACGGGGGCGGGATCTTTCAAACATGTGACGAGCTACCTGAAACTCTGAGTATCCAGGTAAAATTTAACAAGATGACCGGCACTGCGTGTATCCAGATACTGGATAAAGTATCCCAGAGCAGAAGGGTCATTCAGCAGTTCCTAAAGATATTCTAATTTAAAGAGAATGTCATAGTAATGTCAAGTGACCATTTTAAAGAGGGGCATGTCAGATTCATATATAAAAACATACTTTTAGTAAGGTTCTGCTTGAACCAATCTGACGGGAAATAAAAGACGAAAACCAATTAACAGTAAAATGTTTCGACATTTCTGCAATATCATCCGCTTGAAAGTCAATTTTTTCAGACAAGGAATATGTTCTGTTTACAGTAAAAAAAATTTCTGAAGAGATTTGAATAGATTTATTAAAATTCATTTAGGCACCCTTTCATTATTTTGATTTAAAAAAAGACAGATTTTCTGTAGCATCGTGAATTTTAATAAGAGAGCCCTCACATTAAAATTCACTCTGACTAAAAAGTTACCTGTAAGGGTGGAGAAAGTCTGGAGAATTTAATATCTGTTAAATCTTTGTTATCACCTTCCTTCCATTTCTCTTCATATTCTAGAAAATATTATTTTGAAGAATCATAGTTTTTAACATCCTTTTATTAACTTGGTATTTAACAGTTACTAAAGATTCTGTTTAAACAACGGTTAAATCTCCCGTAGATTAATTGCCTTCTATCTATAAATTTAGCTTGTCTGTCTGTCTGTTTGTATCCAATAAACGTCAAAACGGCTGAACCGATCGGGTCCAAATTTTATGTGGGACCTCACGTGACCCCAGGGAAGGTTTATGAATGATCAAAATTTTAAACATTTGTGTTTAAAACTTTTTTATTTTAGTAAATTTTGGAAATGCGCGAAAAAATATTATGAAATCCGCAATTTTTTTGTTGTTGTTTTATACTGCACAAAGAGAAGATGCTCACCACAGATAAAGCCACAATTAAAAGTTGAAATAGAAGATAGCCTAGTTTTATAAAACTTTATTAATACCTAATATTTAACAGTTACTTAAGCTTATATTTAACAGTTCACGTTTTTTTTATCAAAGGATCAAACTGGGCTAGAATTCAATTAAGAAATTAAAATAAAAATTCCAAAACAATTCTTCAAATTAAAAAAGTTTCTAAGAAAATGAGGTTACTTTACGGTAATAAGGGGGGGGGGGATTACAGCTAAAATATTAAGTGTAATGTGATGGCGATATTTAAGTAGTGTTACTAGAATACCTGTCGAGAAATCTGCCAAAGGTTCTCTCTTCTCTGTATAGGATATATTCCGGAGATCATCAGATTCGAAACCAGGACAGCTCTGGGACTTGGAGACATTCCCTCCACTGAGAAAATTATTATTATATTTTTGACGGCAATTAAAGGGAATAAATATTTAACCTCAAGTATCACCTAGATTTAAATGATAATCACTTAAAACTCTGGCAATGCACAGGATACGGAGTACGGACCCGTAAAAATCCACTTATCCGGATCCTAGGTGCAAAATAACAACCATAACCAAAAAATGTTGCTCTCAACAGAAATCAAAATTGTTAACAAATAATATTTTAATATAAATTAACAAATTTCTGAATGATTCACTTCGTCATAACAAAACCTAAGCGAATTAAGAAAACTTCAAGAAATTTTTTCATTTAAAAAAAAATCAGTAAATCTTGAAAAAAAAATGTTTGAGACCTGGATCCGGATCCTTTTTTTCCGGATCCGCCCCGGATCCTAAGCACTGCAATCTAGAGAAGGTTTGGTTTAGAAAAAATATGGGTCAAGCGAGGCCGCATTTTAGTTCAGCCTTTATTCATAATTCAGAACGAGATACTTGAAGTTGGAGTTCTCTGGTTTATATTTTTATATTTATAGTTAAAACATTTTCATTTTTGCAGGTCATTCGAGGTCGTAATAGGTCATTAGAAGGTTAAACATTTTATTTGTTGCTACTTCTGTATTCCCTGGGTTCCTAGCTTTCGTTTGATATGCATAAAACCATAGTTAAACATTTTCATTTGTGGAGGTCATTTAGGTCATTAGAGGTCGTTAGAGGTCATTAGAAGGTCAAACACTGGATTTGTTGCTGCTACTGTATTCCCCGAGTTCCTAGCTTTCGTTTGATATGCATTAAGCCACAGTTGAAATATTTTCTATTGTAAAGGTCAATTTCAATTTTCTTTTATTTAAGGAATTTCGAATAGGACAGGCTAGGGGGCCGAGCGCTGCGGCCACGGGTTAGGTTAAGTTAAGACACTTCCTGTCAGACCCATGTACAAAATTGATAGGAGGGGGGAGAGGGGGGGCCTGGGGGGGGTCCAAAAATCGTTCTCTAGGAATATACCAGGAAGTATGTTGGAGTACAAACCTGTTTTTGTTTTTAACTCGTCTCCAAAATGCCATTTTCAATCAAACTTTACCGCTATAATTCGCCAAATTAAAACCATTTTTATTCTGAAAATAATGCAAAAAATTTACGACAAGAAAAAATAATCACAACATATATTGGACAACAGTATTGACTTCCAGATACGCTTAAATTTTCAAACTGTAACGAAAACGATGAAACAAAAAAAATTATTTAACATCTAGATTTTGCGATTTCTCCGTAATGAAAACAATGTCATGATCATGATAGGATTAAAAAATGTGCGGAAAACAGAGAAGAAAAAACTAAAGATGTATCTTATATGTTTTCAATGATGAAATTAAGCTAAAAGTTAAAGGAAAAAAATTATTGTTTACTTGGAGAAAGTTACTGGATGGACAGGTAGCCGTAGTGTACACTTTATCAGGGGCTACAAGTTTACAACAGGTGGG